ATGGTATCGTCTTCACTATTACTCAATGATTACGATATTGCAATATCGTAATCGTAACAATTTGCAAATTGTTACAGATCTCTACCCAAACTAGTATCAGGCCACCTTGATATCACGTGGCACACATTTTTTTTTGCCATCACTTTGCCACTCGACTTTAAAGTAGTTCACCAAAAGCATGGTAGAGGAAATAAAATAGTGTATGTATGCACCAGACACACAAACATATCCTTTGAAGGATACTTCAAAACAGCAGTCAGGCTGTTAGCCCCACTAGATTGCCAATGCTGGAATACACTATGCCAGCAACCCAAGTTAGTGCCCCTGACAGTAAATCTCTAGTAGAAAAGATAGTGTCTGAGCAACTGGAACCTTTGAAAGAGAGAAAGTCACTGGCAAAAGCAGACAAACCTCATCAAAGGAACTGACTGAAATGGCCAAAAAGCTCAAGACTGGTAGAGACAGAGCCAATCCATACCCCCACTGGCAGAGATTTCTTTGACAAGTCTAAAGGTGGCAAACCCCTCACTACTCCAATAAATAAAAAAATAACTCTGCCAGCAAGCCTGCAATACCAATTTAACATGAACATCTGCATAAAGCTTAAGCTTATCTTCAATAGGTTGAGATTTTAGCCAAACCCATTGTGATGGACTTGTATGTGCACTCAATCTTGCAATAATCTTGACCAGACTGCTATGGAACTTGAAAAAGAAGTTGGAACAGTGACAAACCCCAAACTATCAGCTAATAACTGCATCAAAATGATGCTGGAAGGCAAGCCCACTCTTCTTGCAACCCAGTGGAAACCAAGACACCTCCTCAATATGCAAGTCCTGATAAACAGCAAGGCCACAAAGCTGCTCCCTTTCAGCTGGTCCTTCATGAGATTCCAAGAGGAGGACATTGTCAAATCTAGTGACATTCTATGGTACAAACAGAGAATTAGTAAAACTAACTACTCATCAGAGGAGGAGGAGACATTGAGTGCTCACTCAGATGACAAAGAAGACTGATGAAGGTTGATATCCTGGAAAAGGATATAATAATAAATGACTGCATCCACAGACCCTCTGGAGTGGTAAAGGCAGATTCAAATGACCCAAACCCAATGCTGAAGCAACTCAGGAAAGAATTGTTAGAAAAAATGAATCAAATGCCTTCCTTGGAAAGAAGACCACATTTGCAGAAAAGGTGGCTGGAAAAAAGAAGAATGAAGGAAGCAGTTGACAAAATCTATCCTCTCTAACACAGAATGTGTCATATTGGAGAAAATCAGGACCAGTAGACAAACCCCAAACACAACCAGTGTAATATAAGCCCTGTTCAATTCTGTTCTGTTCCGTTCCATTCCCATTTTGGCCCCTCTTTGATTGGTGGCTGCAAATCATGTGATGGGAACAAATGTGATCAGAATGGACCAAAAAAAAAAGCAAGGTCCATTTGTTCCATGTTGGACTAGCTTACACCTGGTGCACTAGCTGTTTTGGGATTTAGTTTGTTTCCAACAGAAGCTTTCACTCTTCCTACTTTAAACTAAATATAGTACACTTAGTGACCTTTTACACAGGCTTTTAATACTCACAATGTATATTATCACTTTTGTATATGCTGTCCCTGAGTTATTGTTTAAACTTGAGTATCTCAGTGATTTCCATAGTGGGATTAATTCTACAGCCTATCAAACAGGGAATTATACTATTATAAGTGTTGACTATTAATTAAACAATAACCCTATTGCAAAAGTACTACAGTAACCCTCCATAAATGCAACCCCCATAAGTGCAATCCTCCCCTAAATGCAACACTTTGCTCGGTCCCAAGCTTGGGACTTA